TACTATGTGCCAGGCACTGTGCCAGGCCCCAGGGAAGCAGCATTGTGGAATGGACAGACAAGGGCCACTCTCTCGTGGGGTTTCTGTTCTAGTTCCTATAGCAGACTTTTCTCCCTGCACCCCTGGCTCCCTCGTTTCAGAGTAGGGAGGCCCTAGGAGGTTCTGTATGTTGTTCAAGGTCATGCTGGTAGTTAATTCCAGAGCCTGGACTTGGGCTTCCTGATGGTTCAGTCCCTTCTGCCTCCGAGGTATTAAAAGGGCTTGAAATGGGGGGCCGGCTGAGTGGCTCAGTTGGTTAAGAGTTGGTTTAAGAGCATGGGCTCTGAGCAACAGGGCTGCTGGTTTGATTCCCACATGGGCCAGTGACGCCGTGCCTGAGCTGAGCTGTCACTGAGCTGCCAACAGGTGGCAGGATGGCTCAGCTGGTGTAACAACAAGACTGCCTGTTCGATGGTGGGTTATGCCCACCCGCAACTAAGACTGAACTTGGCACCTTGAGCTTAGAGACCACGAGCTGCCAACGGGCAGCCAGATGGCGACTGGCACCCTCCACAACAAAGATTGAAGAACAACAACTTGGCTGGTCCCCTTTCCCGATTCCCCAACACTGTTCCCCTCCCCTAATTCCCCAATAAAATCTTAAAAAAAAAAAAAGTGCTTGAAATGGAATCATTGTTTAAAAATTGAAAAATAAGGCATGCACACAATAATTGAATACGTCTTAAAAAATGTAAGTCGTCACACTACCTACACCCCTTCTTTCCCACCACACACAACTCATCTCCAACCCAGCTCCCTTCCCAAGAGGGGACCACATGTATCGGTGTTCTCCGTATCCTTTGAGGCTTCTTGTTTGCATATACAATGCTTATACAGCATATATATGTATACACCGCCCCCTCTTTTTGCTGAGGCTGGTGACTAGTAGTTCTATGCTCTATTTGTTCTTTGTTGTTGGGAACAGCTCCAACATATGGACATAATTTGAGAGTTTTGGGTGGACCTAAAAACATACTTGGCTGTCATCACTATGATGTTTTAAGTTGTTCTCCCAAAGCCTTGTTCTGTGCACAGAGGAGAGTTATAAAACGTATTTATAAGTATTCCCAGAATTTAGAAAACATGGCAATGAAGGTTTTTGTTTTGGTTTGGTTTGAACTGCCGCCAAAGCCAGCTGTCTCCTCCTGCACAGGTCTCCCTAGGCAGGGCCTGCTCCGGGGTTCCTCCCTACTGCTGGCCGGAGGCTGACCCACTGACCTCTCTGTGGTGATTGGTATGGCAGTGCAGCGCGGGGTGACTGTGTGGACATCCAGGTCTGACTGCCTGGGATGGAATCACTGCACTGTGTGGCCTTGGTACGTCATTGAGGCTGTAAGCCTCGGTTTCCTCCTATGAAAATGGGAATTGTCGTTGACTTAAGGAATCACTGGAAAGATAGAGTTACTGAATCTGAAGTGCTCAGCACAGCAGTGCCCGGCACATAGGAAGCACTCTGTAAACGTCAGCTCCTGTTGTTATTAATCCGATGGTCTTTTCCTTCTTTCGCATCCTATGCTTGGAGGTCCAAGTGCTCACGATCCATTAATCTGCTTAGGTTTCTAATGTTGTAAAACATATTTCTAATGTTGAAAGGGACCACATCCTTTTTTTCTAGAGAACCTTTTTAACAAGGGACATATACATGTCTTAATCAGAGATACAGTAGCACCTCCATTATCTGAAGTTTCACTTTCCATGGTTTTAGTTACCCCCCCCCCCATCAACTGCGGCCCAAAAATATTACATGGAAAATTCCAGAAGTAAACAATTCATAAATTTTAAATTGCGGGTCTTTCTGTAGTGTGATGAAATCTCATGCCATTTTGCTCGGGTCTGCCTGGAACTGAGTCATCCCTGTGTCCAGCATATCCACACTGTATACACTACCCCCCCATCAGCCACTTAGTAGTTATCTTGGTTATCAGCTGGACTGTTGCAGTATTGCAGTGCTTGTGTTCAGGTAACCTTTATTTCTCTTACTCTGCCTAATTTATAAATTAAACTTTATCATAGGGATGGATGTGTAGGAAAAAACATAGTCAATGTATATAGGGTTTGATACTATCTGCAGTTTCAGGCATCCACTGGGGGTCTTGGAACGTATCCCCCAAGGATAATGGGGGCCTACTGTATAGGTGGTTTCTGTGGAACCACAACATGATAATGTCATATGGCTTTATCTTTATAATTAGAATTGTGTAGTAAGCAATAAACTTTAAACTTAAAAAAGGACCTCTTTATTCTTTCCAGATAAATCTTTTCTGAGGTTGTAAATTTCCATCAGTCTTTATGTGGGAAAGAGTCACACTTAGGATTTCCAAAAGGCTTTTTCAATATAAGGACGTTTTGCTTAATTTCTTCCAGCTTGAGCACTCACTTGCATAAGACTGTAATCACCAAATTTGCCCAAAGAGAGAGAGGCCAGGCTTGCTAAATGTGGTGGGGTCGCATGGTGATGGGAACTGAGAATCATGGCTGGGTGGGGTGATGTCCTCCAGTCCCGTCCACTGCTGCTGGTGTGCCCTAGCATGTATGCCGGCCCCCTCGTGGTTTCTGACTGCTGTATGACCATATGGGAGGCACCTTTTAACATCAGTGTGCTGTGGTAAAGAAATACTATTTTAAAGTCTGTGTTTCTTTATCAACATGGATATAGTCACAACTGTAGAATGAAATGAGAAGACATTTAACAATTGCGAAAATGCATTGCAACACAGTCCCCCAAATAAGGCCACGGTTGGAAATATACAAGCGTGTTGGTGTCTTCTTTCCCCTAGACTGCCATTCCGATAAGACAGATATTTGCCGGGAAACTGATAGCTGCTGTGCTGGTGAAGTGCTGCTTGTTAAAAAGTGTGTGTTCCTGGAGAGAGCGCCCAGAGCTGCAAATCACTGCTGGGCGGCTTTCAGTAGAGCTTTTCAAAAAGGTTAACTCCCCCTGCCAGTGTCCCCCCCACCCCGCTTTTTTGGCTTAGTTTCTGGTTTTTGTAGTAAGGACTTTAAGCAGCCATTTGTATTTTACTTCCTCTCAAAGCTACTGTGTGCAGTGCAGTTTTAATCCGTCACAGAAGACAGCTGTTGAAGGAAGCCAATGTGATTGTTTTAGGGCCGAGAACGGGGCGATGGTCATGATGCTGAGAGCCAACCATTGGGTGCGTACTGACTGCTCGGCCCCGTCTTAAGCATTGTACATGTATCATCTGTGTAACTCCCTAACTACGCTATGAGGGAGTGCTACCGAGAGGGCCAGGCTTCGACAGCTAGTCGTAAGGGTCTGGATTTGAAAACAGCCCAGCCCTCAGTGCCGCGCATACAGTCCTTAAAGTCAGTCAGACCTGTGCAAAGAACTCTACCTGGGACATTCTCCTCCACTGGAATGAAAACGCTCACTGTGATGAAACATTACATTCGAGGCCTGACATCCCTCGTCCTTGGCCTGACATCCCTCGTCCTTGACCGTCTTGCTCTCCTTGATGCAAAAAAGTCTAGGTCTGAGGGAGCAGATGAGAAAAAGAGGAGACATAAAAAGAGTTGAATACCTGTTTTCTAGGTGATGGCTCAGTTTGAAGTTTTACTGGGAAAATTCTGTCTCTTATTTTTTACTCTTTTTTTTTTTTCTTTTAGGACCATTTTTCTATTCCTCCACTTCTGACCTTTCTGCCTTTTTCCCTGTTAGCACCTTCCAAATTAATCAACTCTCAATTGAAAGTATTCCCAGACTTCGTTCAGTTTTACAGTTCAGATCTGTAATTCAGCTGTGCTAGATTGTGCAGGGGACTACTTATTTCATTTATAATTAATAACTGGATTCATGCTGCTTTAGGGGACTTTTTATTTCCTTTTTAGCTAAGGGGATTAGGGTCCTTTACCCAAACTATTTAGTTTGGTAAATCTCTCTCTCTCTCTAACACTATGAATATTATAAATTACAGAGTGACAGAAAAGAATAATATGGATAATATTAAAGTATATATCTTGAAGGATTAGCTGTAAAATAAGTAAAAAGCAATACTTAAGACTTATCTCCATTGACTTTTTGCTCTTTTTCCACATTTGTGTAAGTTGGTTTCCCTCTGTTTTTGTTTAGCATTTTTGGCACTCACAGGTTTGGTAGACAAGTGGATGTTTTGTTCCTTAACCTGGTGTAGGCCTGCCCGGTGTGTATGTTTCAGTATTCACAGGCAGTTCTAGAATTTTAGTCCTGTCTTGGGGTATTCCAGTTTTCAAAAGAGGAAAGCAAAAAGATATATAACTGTGTTGTCATTTCATTGAGACACTAGTAAAAACAAAAAAAACAAACCCAAACTTTGGAAAATAGAAAACTGTTTTACTAGTTTACAAAGGGCTTCATGTGTAATGTAAATGTAATGACAGGGATCAGCTGTTCGAAGAACTTCATACAATCTGGAGCCCTGGAGGCTTAATGGAGCCCTGAGGCTGAGCTTTTCATCACTGTGTCCAGGGGAACCCCAGCCAAGGTGCACTGTGTGCTCACGAGAGACCCAGAGTTAACTCTCTTTGGTGTGGCTTAGGAAGGACGCCTTACCCGATCCTATATACACGGTTCCCTGTGACTGAGCACGTGCACTTGACAGAATGTGGCCAAGGAGTTAAAGAATCTGGTCCTGAGAAGTGACACGTGACTCCCAGGGAGAAGGGCCACCTTAGAAGCTCCCATTAGAACAGGCTGATACCCTTAGTCCACCGTGGCTCTCAAATTCTCTTCTTTATTCACTTAGAAAACCGTGATAGTGAGGCTCTTTTGAAATCGTGGTCCTTAGATTTCTTTAGACTAATTTCTAGAAGAAATGTGTAATGGGGGAAGGAATGCCATGGGGTGGGGTGGGATGGGGTGAGGATGGATTACAATGTCTCTGTGTTTCCAAATATTCAGGCAGATTACTATGTGATACGATGTTTACCTTCTATAACACTTCACCCTTTTTTCATTTCTCTTTCAGGAATGACATTATTTGAAGAGTTCTAAGAGACTGAAAACTTAACGAGCTATGAAGTTACCTAGGGACTATTTGTATCGTTTGTACGATTTCTCTCGTGGAGTCTGCAGGCATATGGGTAAAAGCTAAAAGGGAATACTGGTGCCATGCTGGATACAGAATTCAGCTGGTTTTGAAACAAGTGTTTGTTTAAAGAAGTCTAATGAAAAATTTATTACATTTCCAGGGAAGAAAAGAGCTTATTTTTTTATCTTCCCAACCACCTTCTGCCGCCACCGCTTCCATTCCCCCTCCCAGCCTTAGGGTACACATTGCCATTTTCCAGTATGATCACAAT